AAATCATATGTTTTGAAATATCCATCAAAATCTAAAGTCTACGGTCTTCGACGATATATACAGATGCACTATACGTTATCATAAAAAAGTTTTCAATCTATAATTTTAGAAATCAACGATCTCCCTAATAATTCAACAAATCCTTCACTTACATAAAAACTAAATCATGATCGCAGCCGATTAGATCATATTATTTGTTATAGTATTCATAATTGTATCGCAGAAATGCAATTAGTAATTTTACCACAAATAATAATGATTACCTCACCATGTAGTGGCTACGTATCGAAATCTAACCTTGTTCCATCCACCTTTCTTTTACTTTTTATTCAAAAAACAAAATTATTCAAATTTATTCAACAATTTAATCAAAACAAATTTATTCAACATGAAAAAAAAAGAAATTTCTTTTGATATACGATTGCAAAATGTCCATAATTTCTTATCATCGTGCAAACGAACAGCAAAGGGAGTTTTAACAAAAAAACCTATGAAGTTTTAACAAAAAATTTTAATGAAAAATAAAGTACAATATATTAAAATACAAATCAAAGTTTAAATTGAAAATAATTATAATTATAACTATAATTGGTTTAAAATATTTTACATATTTAAAGAAAAAATAAAAATTGATTCACATATATCACAGCAATAAGCGTATCATTCTATAGAATGTGCTTACATTGAATTCACAGATATTGACTTCTGATTAACTAAAACTAAACGCACGCATCCCACGACGTTCCTGCGAGTTTCCTCGTCGTCCCACGGTGCCTCGCTGGGGGGATCTAGTATTTTACTTATCAACTAATTGTTCCTACAGTTCAATTTAGATCTAAACTGAACTGTAGGTTGCGTAGTCCTTAGCTTGATATCGTTTTACAAACATTAAAGTTTATCGTTCATCGTTTTATAATTTATCTTGGTAACGTTTTACAAACTTTAATGTTTAATGCATTATTTTACAATTTGAACAATTCATTTGAAACAAATTAAATTATTTTATTTCTACAATATTTCTAGACATTATTTAATAATTTTCTTTTATTTTTCTTTCTTCGATTGTCTCATTGGTTATATTTATTGGTAACTCATATTATAAGCTTTCAAAATTTGAGTACTCTTCATTGTTTCATTTTTACATAATTTGCCCCTTTTATACATTTATTTGATTTATTTGTTTATTTATTTGTTCTGGTTTCATTTGTGCAGATTGTTGGTTGTTGCTTCGAATTAAACAGACGTCATGGAATTTCAATGGACACCACAAAGATTGATACATCCAGCAACTTTTCACAGAGGTATTTTAATGTTTCATTCTAATGAAGGCAGACATATTTTTTGGATGATTTATATTTTTTTCCGGAAATACATATTATCGTGGATGAAATTTTAAGTTTGTATTTTATGTACTATAGTCATTCGAATGTCGAATTTCGTGACAATCACACGCATTATGTCGCATTAGGTTTTTCTTACCTATCG